TACTAAATAAGATATTCCACGTATTTGAAGATAAGCATGAATCTAAAAGTGATAAACATTTAAAATCTTTATTCAAGTGTCACAGGGTTGGGCCTAGACACTATTACAAAGGATTCAATAGACTCTGATGACACTCTATGGAAGGCCTCACCATCCAGGGGGAGCAGAAGGGATATGTGATAGGTAGAGTTTTCATTGTGGGGGTGGTAGGTGAGGATGTGAGGAAGAGGGAAATGGGATTGTTATGTAAAGCAACCTTGTTTCTAATTCAAATAAAATATCTGCAAAAAAATAAAATAAAATCTTTGTGCAAGTGTTACAGGTATGGAGGCTGAGGTTTCCCAACTGTCATATATCAGTCTATACCGACAGCTCTGAAGGGAAGATGGCCTGGATATCTGCAGCTCTGAAGAGAAAGGTATCCTGACTGTTAGGAAGTCATGCTATTCCTGAATCAACGCAGCCAATGTTTCCAGGATACCTAGGGCTCTGAAGAAAAGTCAATCCTAAGTGTCCGATGTCATGGTACATTTGCCTCTGTGAAGGGAAGGTATCCTGGAATCAAACACATGTTAGAAAAAAGGCATCCTGACTGTCAGGAAGTCGGGTTAATCAAGAAGTTGTGTTACAGCGTGGGGTGTTCTCCATGAAGGATACAACACTCCTGCTTCTCTCACAGAGAGAACCATTAAAACAAATTCGTTCCACTCTGCTAAGAGAAGTTATCACCAGACATGTCCATTGTTTCTCTCCCCTTCTCCACTAGGGAGTTTCCAAGCAATGATAACCATTTCTTCTTAACACTTGCCCAAATTATCACTTCTCTGCTTCATCCACCTATGAAGAAAACTGCTCCAGAAAGGCAGCAGTCTGCTACAGCGCAGTGATAACACATTTCCTCTGCTCTGCTCCACTAAGGGAGACTCCCAGGAGAGGTGTATGCTGCATCTCTCCTCAACTTCACTGGGGAGTTTTATATCCACTTTGGCAAAGGAAGTTCTTCAGTGAAACTCATTGAATTATTTGGGAGCAATCCTGAAAAATGGCAGCCACTACAAGTGTGGAAAATGCCAGATGCCAAGTGAACAAGCAGAGGGTTTATATGTGTCTTCTTAGGGATATAGGTTTTTCAGGTCGAATTTTCAGCAAGTCAATTGGTAAAATTTCAATCGCTGAGATTGAAAATCCTTTGAGATTGACTTGATTCCTTCTTGGGGATTGGTTGGTTTTGAGCTCGGTTATTGGTTGGATTTTTCCTCTGCTGAACAGGGAGTTTGTTTTGTTGCCTTTGGTTTTAGGGCCAAAGTGTGTTTCTTTCACTGGCCATTTTTAACAATTTTGCTCTTGTTTCAGGGTGTGTTTCTTAGGCTCCATTTTCAGGGACAAATTATGTTTCTTTCACTGGATCTGCTTCCTGGGTCAGGGTGTGTTTTTTTGCTGGCCCATTTATGCTACACATAAGGATTCATAAGTTTATGAATTCATTTTTCCATGAGTGTGCTGGACGAACAATATAAAAATGGACATCATAATGCTCGCACAGATTGTTGACACTGACACTTTTTTTTCTACTAAATAATTACAATTGTATAACTGATTAGAAGTGTGATAGTTAAAGATCCCACCAAGTACTTGATAATGAGAAACCCTCATCATCTTTATCTGGTACTGAAAAATGATCCTAACTTGCAAAGTCTTCAACAGATGGATTTTCCACAAAGTTTTACTCTTGTAAAAGGTGTAAATTAAAACTAAACTGACTGCATTTATAGTTTCATTGCCGAATCATATTTGTAATGATTTCAAAGACTCCTGAAAAACCCATACTGATTACATTAAAATGCTGTGTCTCCAGCATGAATTCTTTTATGTGTTTGAAGAAGAGTTTGACTTGTAAAAGCCTTTCCACACTGATTACATTCATAGTGTTTCTTTCGAGTATGTGTTCTTTTATGCCTTTGAAGATTACTGTTCCGAGCAAAGGCTTTATCACACTGATTACATTCATAGAGTTTCTCTCCAGTATGTGTTCTTTTATGCATTTGAAGATGGATGTGCTGAGAAAAGGCTTTACCACACTGATTACATTCATAGGGTTTCTCTCCAGTATGTATTCTTTTATGGATTTGAAGATTATTTTGACTAGTGAAGGCTTTACCACACTGATTACATTCATAGGGTTTCTCT